ATTAGTTTGATGAGCTATTCTCTTTTAGATGACCATTTCTCTTCTATTTTGGCCTTTTACACTTTGTGTGCGTTAGAATCCTTCAGTTTCTGATGAGAATGCTGGTCAGCAGGCAAATGTATCTCCCTTCTTGCTCCAATCATAGAGCGTTATCCACTCATGATAACTTTTGGCAATTATGAACAAGTCAGAAGTGAACCTGACAGCTGTGTAGCAATGGAGAGAACACATGGGAGCTTTGTGGGGGGAACTATCAAAGAACAGATGCTAATCTTGTCACCTGTCATAGCTAAGAATAATGTTTGCCTGATGGAATACCATCCACTTTAGTTGCTTCTGCTCAACAAGTGTGGCCTATGAAATGTTTTTGCGCCTGATGTGTTAATTCCTAACTCTCAGTATATTTAACTGCTGCCTTGCTTGTCATGAGCTCAACCTCAAGGGAATCTGATCTTATGTGGAAGGTCACATCTCTTCCAATTGTCCAAGGGAAGGTACTCTTCTTGTACACACCTGTGATGTTTACAGCTATAAGGCTTTCATAGGCATATGTGTGCTCCCCCAGGCACACTTGTCTGTAGCATAATAATGCAAATCCATCTCTTATAATGCAGTCCTCAAAGTGCAGAGGGGACACCCAGCCCAGCCAAGGTTTCCCTGAGCAGAGCAGAGGCCAGTGGGAGAAGGTGTTCAGGATGTCTCACACACACTCCCCCCTAAAATGGTGGCTGCTGAATTGAAGAGACAAGGTTTGACTGTAAAATGGATGAGGAACTGGATGTATGGTCACCTCCAAAGAGTTACAGTCTTACAGGCTCAATGTCATATAGGCTCAATGTCCAAGTGGAAACCAGCAATGTGTGGTGTCCCTCAGTGCTCCATATTGTGACCAGTAGTATTTCCAATCTGAAACAACAGATCTTCATCAATGACATAGACACCGTGTGGATTTGTGAATCAGAGGCAGACTAGTAAATGTTAGGGGTTTGTCCAGTCAAAATATCAAAGGCTTTAATCACAGCACACATATCTACATATTGTCTCTGGCGATCATTTGTCCCTAAAAGAGAGGGTAAATGTCAGAAACCTGGATGAGCAAGAACTCTCCTTTCTCTGGCTCTCATGTCCTCATAAGGCTGTGATGTAGAGCCTCATCTTGGTTGTACTAAGCTTTCCCCAGCCTCGACGAACCTTCAGATGTTATCAAGGGATCTTGCTCATATGAAGTAACAGCTGATGTTTTGTTGGTGTTGAAATTGCTGGGAATGTAGGGGATGAGATGGTAACTTTGTTAGGAAATTCTGGTTTGGGGGCTTGTTATTTGAAGCACGTGCAAGGAAATCATTCCTGTTATCCACTGTCTGGTCTGATACAACTCTTCCTGTGAATGGTAGTTCTTGGACGCAGATGTAAATGTGGCTCTGACAGTTGCAGAGTCACATATCTCCCAAACTGACCGTGTGCTGAGGAAGAATTATTGTGTCTTTAAGCTGTCTTTAAGTGCACTGCATGTCACTTATGCCCTTGAGAACATTTTACAACTCTCAGAATGAATGTGATGAGCAGAGGAGGTCCTATGCATGGAGCTGTGTTGGGATTCTTGTTCTCCATAAGGAGAAGTTGTGTGGGGAACATGTCTTTCAGTGGTGTCTGTCTGCAAAGGGAGCTTCCCTGTTGCAGGATGTTTGAGCCTGCTGAAGCATTCTGTCTGCACAGAGGCAGGGCAGGTGGAACAGTTGGCTGTGGTGTATTTGGAACTGCCTAAAAGGTAGGTATAAACACTAGTTTTTATAGGGGCCCCATAATGATGGTCCTGTGCACTTTTCCTTTCTTGATTTCCAAGGAAATTGTTTAGAGAAGCAAGCATTTGGCATAAAGTCCTGTGTGATCCTCCTGTGTACTTTTTGCTAGTTAGACAATGCTTCTTGTGTACCTACTGCAGTTGACATAGCCTGAAATATTAAGTTACTCCTTCACTTCTGTGGCTTTCCTATTCCTTCCTTGATTATTCTCATGTGCTGAAACTGGGCCTCAGTTTGGCTGATAGTCCTTGAAAGAAGAGATCTGTTTGAATTAGCAGGCTGTGCAAGGTGTTCTCATCCATGCCTTGAAGGAGTTCAGCTGCCAGCAGAAAGGCCTGGATATACTTTTGTTTCCCTAGAATGTCACATGCTCTTTGGCTTGTGGCTGACATATGGCCAAACATTGGGTCTTGCCCATAGTGCAACTGAAGGCTGTGAATGCAGAGCAAGGAATGTGAGGGAATAGCTTTGGAACAGGAAAACAGGTAGGTCAGTGTGGTTTTGGGTGAGCAGTGGTTTGATTTCATGCCTGCTGACAAAGCCTGTGCCATTTATGTTGTGATCCTGGTTTTGCTGTTATGAAAAGCATTTTGAAATGACAATAAAATACTAGAGCTTGGGGTAGAGTGGCTTGGAATTCTTGTGGGAAACATCTTGTATCCATCTCTATCTCCCTGGAACATTATGATGCACAGTTTCCTCACAGTTGTAATTACACTTTCTTTCAAGCCTTTATTTCCTGGAAGGTCATGATTCATTTTCCCCATTTCTTGCAGAAAACAGTTTCTCACTTTTGCATTAGAAGCTGTGAGTGTTGTTTTTCAGCAAATACTCAGTCACCTGTACATGATGTCACCACATGGTCCCCCAAACCATGGTGGTTGCTCAGTTGGGTTTGACAGGTGGACTGCTAGATGGATGAGGAACTGGCTTTGATGGCTGTGCTCAAAGAGTTTTATTCAATGGCTCATTGCCTATCTGGAAAATACTACTGTGACATTCTTTGGGGGCCTTACTTGGACTAATACATTGACTATCTTCATCAGTGATGCAGCTAATTGGATTGAGTGCACCCACTACAAGTTTGCAGAAGACACCAAGCTAAGTGGTGCCATTGATTCACTGAAGGGATGGGATGGGATGGGATGGGATGGGATGGGATGGGATCCAGAGGGATCTGGACAGGTAGAAGGAGTGGACCCATGTCAAGCTCATTAAGCTAAACAAGGTCAAGTGCCACATCACGCACCTGGGTCAGAGCAGTCCCATTCCCGAACAGGCTTGGGGGATTCAGAGCTGCCTTGTGGAGAAGGACTTGGGAACTGGTGGGTGACAAATGGGACATGAGCTGGCAATGTGTTCTTGCTGTTTAGAAAGCCAATCATACTCTGGGCTGCAAAACAAGGACTGTGGCCAGCAGGAAAGGTGGTTTTGTGTCTCACCATGCTTTTGTGAGACCTGTTAGAGTACATCCAGAGAAGGACCATGAAAATGCTCAAAGGGATACAACATCTTACTATGTAGGTTGTCTGAGAGAGGCCCTTCAGCCTGGAGTAGAAAAGGTGCTGAGAAGTCACCATATATTTTAATATATAAAATAGAGTAAAACTAATATGGAGAGAGACTTTTAATAGGGCCTATCTTGCTAGGACAAGTGAATGGTTAGAAACTGAAAGAAGGTAGGTTTAAATTGGTCATAAGGATGAAACGTTTTAAAGTGAGGGTGTTGAGACATGGGAACAGGTTGTCCAGAGAAGCTGCTGATGTGCCATGGTTGAAAGGTTTGAAGGTCTGGATGGATGAGGCTATGAGAAAGCTGACCCCTAGTGCATTGTGGACTACATGATATTTAAGGTTCCTTCACACCCAAAATATTGTCTGGTTCTAGGAAAGGCCTTTCCGAATGTCAGACCCTCTTACATGTAAATAAGAAAAGAGCAAACTTTTGAGAATCAAAACAAAGTAAGGTTTAGGGAGATCTCTTTCTAAAGGTAATTGTTCTCCTCACTAAAAGAAAAGTTAGAAAATGTAAAAATATCGTGTTTGCACAAGCAGAACAAATATGCATTTGCATAAGCATGTAATGCATTTGCATAAGGAAAATAAAGAAATACATGGGAAAATGAAGTATTTTGCAGGCCTGACATGACAGGATTTTACGGACTTTTCCTTCGGTCTGTTGTTGATTGTTCTTGAGTGTTAAAACATGAGTATTACCTTCTTGATATTCGTACATATTAATGAAAGACTACAACTCTGGACCGTGCTCGGGAGCCTTTCAAGTTAGCTGTACTATAATTTCTTGCACCGAGATTTCATTATGAGTAGATATTTTGCTTTCCTTATTTCTCTGCCATGCATAGTTGCTTCTGGTTGTTCACTGAGACTCAACGAGATGAACCTAAAAGCACACGACAGCGCATCTCAGTTAAAAACACCGCTGGAATCGAATAAGGAGCGTGAAGGACTTCTGCGCTTGCTGATTGGAATCGGGGTGGGACCCCAGAGCCAGTGAAGCCCCAGCGCGGCTCAAAGGCGGCTGCAGTGCTGCGGCGGCGCCTCCGGGTGTCGCTGTTGGCCGCCGCCGAGCGGCGCTGGAGCCGCAGCCGCCGCCGCCGCAGCGTCCTGCCCCCGCAGGCTGCTCGCTCGCCCGGCCAGTGGCGGCCAGAGCGGCAGCGGCACGGGCAGCAGAGGCGAGAGGCGGCCAGAGCGGGCAGCGGCGGCGTCCGAGGCGGCGGCGGCGGCCCCTGCGCTCGCTGCTTCGAGCGGCTGCGAGGGAGGCAGGGCAGCGGCAGGAGCCGTCCGAGCGCCGAGAGCCGGCGCTGCCGACAATGGCGGGCGGGCGGAGGCAGAGCGGCGGGCCGGCCGGCGGGCGAGCGCTGCTGCTGCCCGCTGTGCTGCTGTGCCTGTGCTGCCGGGCGGCGCCGGAGCGGCTCCGCTACGCCATCCCCGAGGAGCTGCCCACAGGCTCGCTCGTGGGGCCGCTGGCACGGGACCTGGGGCTCAGCCCGGACGAGCTGCCGGCGCGCAAGCTGCGGCTCAGCGAGGAGAAGCAATACTTTACCGTGAGCGAGGAGAACGGGAACCTGTACGTGAGGCGAGAGGCTGGACCGGGAGGAGCTGTGCGGCGAGTCGGCGTCCTGCTCCGTCAGCTTCGAGGCGCTGGTGCACAAGCCGCTCAATGTTTTCCACGTTGAGGTGGCCATTGAGGACGTGAATGACAACTCTCCTACCTTTAGGAAAGCTGCTCTGGAGCTCGAAATCAATGAATGGACTTATCCAGGTGCTCGTTTTCCCCTGGAGATGGCCCGAGATGCAGACGTGGGCAGCAACTCTCTGCTGACTTACGAGCTCAGCAGCAACCCGTCCTTCTCTCTGGCCTTAAAGGAGAGCCGAGGCGGAAAGAAGCAGCCGGAATTAGTGCTGGAGAGAGCGTTGGACCGGGAGAAACAGAGTTCCTTTGAACTGGTTCTTACTGCACTGGATGGCGGGGATCCCGCGAGGTCCGGGACTCTACAGGTTCGGATCAACGTGACGGACGCTAATGACAATCCGCCTGTGTTCAGCAAAAGTGTCTACGAGGCGCGAGTGGCGGAGAATCTGCCGGCGGGGTCGCTGGTGCTGCAGGTGCGTGCCACGGATGCGGACGCGGGGTCCAATGGGCGGGTCCTCTATTCCTTCGGCGACGTCCCGGACTCCGTCAGCGCTTTATTCTCTGTCGACAGCGAAAGCGGGAATATCAGGACAATGGGTCCCCTCGATTTCGAGGAGAAGACCAAATACAGTTTCGGTTTGGAGGCGACTGACGGCGGAGGGCTTACCGATCACTGTGAAGTGCAGATAGATGTCACAGACGAGAATGACAACGCACCCGAGATCACGATTCTGTCCCTGTCGAGCCCCATTTCGGAGGACGCACCGGTCGGCACCGTGGTGGCCCTGCTGAAAGTTCGTGACCGGGACTCCGGCGAGAACGGTGAGGTGTCGTGCGAGCTGTCGGGAGAGACGCCGCTGTCGATCGTGGCGTCGTCGGGCGGCTCGTACAAGGTGGTGACGGCGAGCGCGCTGGACCGCGAGCAGGCGTCCGAGCAGCGCGTGACGGTGGTGGCCCGGGACCGGGGCAGGCCGGCGCTATCGAGCACGGCGGAGCTGGTGCTGGAGGTGTCGGACGTGAACGACAACGCGCCGGTGTTCGAGGAGGCGGCGTACAGCGCCTACGTGCGGGAGAACAACGTGGCGGGCGCGCTGGTGCTGCGCGTGAGCGCGCGGGACGCGGACGCGGGCGCCAACGGGCGCGTGAGCTACTGGCTGGCGGGCGGCAGCGCGGGCGCGGCGGGCGCGGCGCCGCTCGTGTCGGTGGAGGCGCGGAGCGGCGCGGTGTACGCGCAGCGCTCCTTGGACTACGAGCAGTGCCGCGAGTTCGCGGTGGCCGTGCGGGCGCAGGACGGCGGGGCGCCGGCGCGCAGCTCCACGGCCACGGTGCGCGTCTTCGTGCTCGACCAAAACGACAACGCGCCGCGGGTGCTCTACCCGCCGCCGGCGGCGGGAGGGGCTTCTTCGGTGGCGGCGGCTTTCGAGGTGGTGCCGCGGTCGGCCGAGGCCGGCTACCTGGTGGGCAAGGTGGTGGCGGTGGACGCGGACGCGGGGCGCAACGCGTGGCTGTCGTACGAGCTGGTGCAGGCGTCGGAGCCGGCGCTGTTCCGCGTGGGGCTGCAGAGCGGCGAGGTGCGCACGGCGCGGGCCGTGTCGGAGCGGGACGCGGCCAAGCAGCGGCTGGTGGCCGTGGTGAAGGACCACGGGCAGCCGGCGCTGTCGGCCACGGCCACGCTGCACGTGGTGCTGGCCGACAGCTTGCAGGAGGCGCTGCCGGAGCTGAGCGAGCGGCCGGCGGGCGCCGACGCGCCGGCCGAGCTGCAGTTCTACCTGGTGCTGGCGCTGGCGCTGCTGTCGGCGCTCTTCGTGCTCAGCGTGGCGCTGGCCGTGCTGGCGCGGCTGCGCCGGGCCGGGCCGCCCGCCGTGCTGCGCTGCCTGGGCGCGCAGCGCTTCTCGCTGGCCGGCGCCGCCTTCCCGCCCGACTTCTGCGAGGGCACCTTGCCCTACTCCTACAACCTGTGCGTGGCCGCGCCGGCCCGCGCCGCCGCCGAGGCCGCTTGGCCGCCGCCGCCGCTGCCCATCCTGCCCGCCGAGGAGCTTCTGGCCGGGGAGCCCTGCGGGAAGCCGAGCCCGAGCAGCAGCGCCGTCGCGGGAGAGCCGCCCAAAGACCCCGACGCACCACAGGTATTTAAGTCTGTGCTGTCCCGTTGATCTCTTGGTACTCTTCCTAACCCTTATTGTGTGTTCATCTAATTTTCTCACCGTGTGGTTGATGGGGAGTGCTGGTCTCTGGCTCATTGATGGAATGAAAGAATGGTGGTCACTCTATCTTGTTATAGTGACAAGAGGTGACACCTTTTTTTCTTTATTGGGCTGCCAAAAGCCTGTGGAACCATGAATGGACAAGAGACATGCCTCCAACTCGAATCATAGAGAGTGTCTCTTTCTAGGCAATGTCACTGCAGAAATGGCAGAAATGTTGGCAGTAGTGGGACACATAATTTTTTTTACCTTCTGAAGAGTAATTCCCTCTTTTTTTTTTTGGCCTTTTTTCTCTGTCTTTTATACAGAGGTAAAGCTGTATAATTGGTTCCTAGAGACCTAGTTCTCTCAGCAATTTTTTGCAATAATTGTTACATCCGTGTGTTTAAAAGGATAGACCGCTGAGGACAACATGTATCAAATATCAAGAGATATGCCAAATGACAGGTAAAATGTGTCTTACCCACATGAAAATGCAAGAATTAGAACAATAATA